AATTATGAGAACAAAATTATTTTAAGTCCCTTAATATGTGAATAAATATATCATTAGTATATTATAATTTATAAACCTTAATAATTCAAATAAATTATCCTTGCTAAGCTCGATATCTTAATAAAACAAAGTTTGTATCCATTTTCTGATGTACTTCAAAGTAATCGAAAATTAAACATGAAATTTTTGTGAAATTAGAAGGGTCCTGGAGCAAAATTTGAGTATTAAATTACCTTATTTTATTAAATGTATTTGGATAAATCTAGAAATATTCCTGGCAATTTTAAGTTTTATTTTTCCATTATTAAAGTAACTGAATCTTATATCCAACGATTATACGAGGAATATATCCATTGTAGTATCTACTTATATTTTATAATAATAAAATATAAGTAGATACTACAATGGATACTATCAATTATGTACTTTTATGTATAACAACCTTGAATTAAATATACTATTTAAAAGCAAAAATTTAAATTTCAAAATTGCTTACCACAACATTAAATCGAATTTTCTTACTTCATATAACTCCGTGAGATAAAATCGTATAACTTAAATATATAATAACTTTTTTTTTCTATAAATAAATTTTTCTGGGAGTTTATAATTTGCAACAAATTAAAGTTATATAATTTGCACCACTGCAGGTAGTCGAAAGTAGTGTTTGTAATTTTCACCATAATTAGGGTATGTAATTTGCACCACTCTCTGGTAGTCGAGAGTAGAATTTAAAATTTGCACCAAAATGAGTATCTATTTGTTCGATTATGGAATATTTGATGTTATACTACCAGTGGCGTATTTCGCTGTAAACACTATAAACTAGTGCTTAGGGCGGCAAATAATTTTTAATATTAAAATTTTATTATATGTAACTAGAACTAAAATAAACGCAACTAATTATAAAATGTTTTATTTTTATGAAAGCCAATGGATACTAGGCACTAAGTATTTAGTTTTGAATATAATTTAAAAATTAACTATTTCAGTATTTTTACTACCATGTTTCATATCATTATATTTTATATTATATTTTTATAATTTTTTCATAAGAATATGTGTATTCATTTTTATAACAGCTGTATATTTTTATTTTACATCAATAAAATGTTAAGTAATAAAGGAAATAACTATGATTGTATGCTTTAATAACATTTTTTTAACTAGAAAAATATTTATATGAAAAAGCAACAATTTGTTTAGTGCTTAAAGCGGTACAATGGTTAAACCCGTGAAGATTTTTTTTTTTTAGTAAAATTTTAAATTCAAACCCCTATTCAAAAATGCTGTACAGAAATTTGTGATATTTTTAAATTTATTTAAGGTATTTATTCAAATATGCATTTGAAAATGCATTTGGAAAAAAAAATAATTACAACTATACGAATATGGTCGTATGGATGTAGACCAAAATAAATTTGTGGACCCTATAATTATAACTGCACTGATTAATGGAAAACCAATGGGCGCCACTGTATAAATACATATATATATATATATATATATATATATAATTTATTTTAGTTATTATTTTAATCGAATACTATGCTAACCCTTTAATTTTCTTGTTTCGTGGTAATAAGTAATAAAAAAATTAACCACTAAATTAAAGGTTATACTGGTGGAAATGTGTTCTTAACTGACGACTCTGATAACAATAACACTAATAATGTAATGATCAGAGTTCGAGACTTGTATTATTTCCATACTTTTGTTATTGATTGTAAAATATAGTTGAGTGCGAAATAAATAAATTTCTCGATATCATGATATTAAATCTAAAATTTGAATGTGCATATTTCATAGATTTTGCAGGAAAGTGCTTATTTTTACATTTTTGTCGTGTTTGTTACGTCTAATCATTAATAATAAATAGGATTCGGAAATTATAGGAGTTGCATATTGTTCTGTAGATCTACGCTTTCGATTTATTGCAAACCAAGCTAGAAATTCAAATTATACAATGTTGAGCTTAAAAATTGAAAATTATAAATACATATTTTACATATTTCGTTAATTTTAGAGAAAAAGTGCATATTTCGTCGATTTTCATTGATTTTCGCATACCTATTTGTATACTCTTACATATTTAATATTTCTAAAAAATTAATTTTTTTCATTCTTAACGAATTTATTTTAAATAATGTTACATTATTAAATTATTATTATTAATAATGTTACATTATTAACACAACGTTAATAACGCGGAAAACGTGCATCATATAAAACTCAATATTATTTTTCGTGGTTATTTTTTGTTATTTTTTATTGTCTTTTATGAATTAATTGAAAATTTTGGTGGTTCAGTGTAACAACTTAATTACATATATTACATTATTATATAACATATATTTATTTCGTAATTCACAAATAATGAAAATATATTTTTTTATATACATCTATTTTTTTAAGTTCAATAAAATCTCAAATGCCAACCGGTTATGTACAATATTTTAGTTTTTAATAATATAATTTTTTTAAACATGAGTTTTTAGAATTTAATTATTAATTTTTAATAAATAAATATTTTTTTTGCATATTTCACATTTTTCATGCATATTTTGCTTTTTTTGGCTCCTATAACTTCCGAACCCCGCTAATGATTAATGGTCAAATTCAATTAAGTCACATGTCCATTGTGCCGGATAAAAATATAGTTAAATTATTCCAGGTGATATAATATAATAAAAATATAAGTAATCCAAAAATGTATACATATTAGATTAATAACACAGAAAACGCGTTATAGTGACCAGATAGGAGAAATTTAATGGAACTGCCGGTTCGTTTACTTCTAATAATACATAATTAATGGATTACTGTAATGGATTTCAGTATGCTTCGGTACATTTAGGTACATTTCCATTATTATTAGTTGTGATTATCAATTTTTAATGTTCATGTCATAAAATATGCGTAAAAAAAATTAATTAAATTTTTAAACGTCACCGTCGCCTGAAAAATGTCACACCAAAGATATTACCGCCTCGATAAAAGTTTCCCCTGGGAAATTGCCCCTTTTATCTCTCCCTGTCAATACAACCCTGAGTCGATAAAACAATTGTCCTTGTTCTTACATCGATATTTTTTCAGCACCAAACGACTGATAATATTTTAAATTTCAAATAATACCGAGCAGTTTTTTTGTTGTTGTTTATAATATTCCTAATCCCATATGTTAGTTACACATATCGTTAATAGATTACACAATATCACGGAGAAACAGTATAATACCATTATATTATTACGTACACGAATACGTGATACGCGTATACGGCCGTACAGGTATCTACAATAACTCGTAATAAAGGTCGCGCGGGTCGTGCAAGCGTCCAAGGTCGGTTAGGTTTTGTTCGTATACGCACATACGAAAACGAAACAACACGTACCTAACGTCACGAACTGCAAGAAAAGTGCATTGCGACGCTCACCTGTTTAACCGCTACACCCACCCGTCGTGTACGTTAAACTTAACCGATGCTGATACACGCTAATGCATTGTACGCAGCGCAATGTTAAAGGATTTTCAGTGGTCAAAAAACATTTGTTTCCCACAAATGCGTTATACTAGATATGATGGTAGTATTTCACGTTAGGTCCGCGTAATTTCGTCCAGTCTTCCAAAGTAGTATCAACTAGATAACAAAATATTCTCACTTGATGACATTTGTATCGCCCAGTTAACCATTTGAAAAAATGCAATGACTGCAGGAGCGTATTTAGACTTACTTATATTTAAAGGATTAAAGCTGATTGGTACTAGGCACTAGCTATTTAATTTTGAATATAATTTAAAAATGAACTATTTAAGCACTTTTTACTACCATGTTTATATTTCATTATATTTTATATCATATTTTTATAGTTAAGTTTTTCATATGAATGTATATATTAATTTTTATAACAGCTGTATATTTTTATTTTACATCATTAAAATGTTAAGTAATAAAAGACACAACTATAATTGTACGCTTTAATAACGTTTTTTAGACTAGAAAAATAATTATATTAAAAGGCGGAAATTTGTTTAGTGCTTAAAGCGGCACAATGGTTAAATCTAGCACTGATTGCACGTATACCTACGTAAAAAACATAAAAAATATACATTCATGTAACGATTTTGTTATAATACAGAGTAATCGAGAAGTCGCACACATAAAAATAAATGTGTTTGTAAATAGTATTTTTATCGAATAACCTATACTTTAATTTAATGATACAAATGCAAAAAATATTCGAAATTTGTTTATACAAAATATGCCTTATGAATATTTTACAATTTATACTCAAAATGGCTACGTTGTTCATTAATACGAACACGTATTGCCGCATTTGTAGCCACTTCGTGGAGTACGCTAGCATTGATTAAGTTAATCTCAGACCCAGATTTCTTTCTATGGGGTTATATTACAGGAAGGGTTTATAAAAATAGACCATCCACATTGGATGAACTAAAGAGTAACATAAAAACGGAGATTAACTTAATCAATGCTAGCGTACTCCACAAAGTGTCTACACACGTAGTAAAACGAGTTCGTGCATGCATTAATAAACAAGGTAGTCATTTCGAGTATATATTGTGAAACACGCGTAATGCATGCGTATAAATTAGTTTTGAATATTTTTCGTACTCGTATCTATAAATAAAAGTGTAAGTAATTCGATAAAAATACTGTTTGCAAACACATTTATTTTGGTGTGCGCGACTTCTCGATCACTCTGTATTATTGTGACTTTTTTTTATTTTTATATAAGCCTTCCATGGAGGAGGGCCAAAAAAAAAAAGGCTTCGAAGGTCGCGGGTTAGACCACCCTGCATACGGCGTTACACTACAATCGAGTGCCCCGGTGAGTACCAGGCTTCAGCCGACCGTAGAGGCGTCACAAAATATTTCTTATTCCGTTCACCGTCCTGCGCGTGTAGAATTAACAAACTCAAAACGGTCCGCCCGCATGGTTTAACAATCATTATTCGTCGCACACGATCGATGATCTCAATAACCGGCCAGTCGTCGAGACGGTTTCCGATCGCTTCTTCAATGTTATCGATTTCATTGAACATATCTAATACGTTGTTCATCATTTCTTACCGCACCGTTGATATAAGTCGGCGGCGGCCGTTCTAACGTAACAAGAAAAAAAAAAAAAAAACAGTACTGAACCACGGTATTTGCAGCCTTCGAAATACCGGCCCGACCGCTTCGCATAAACCGTCCGAGGCGTTGGATTGTCATCGCAGAGTAAATACAATTATTGTCCGCGTACGACAACGATTGTCACAGGGGGAGGTGGGGGGAGAACAAAATTCGTTCTATCGCATCGACCATGTCCGTTCCGCGGTAGCCGTGAGGCCCGTCACTTATTAGCCACCGACCGGACGGTCGCGACGTATTGAATTTTAAATTGTGACCCGTGACCCGCGGAACTGATTTATTTGTTTAAATTGGTAACGTCGCACGCACGACGTGATAACGTCTATTTACTTGATATTATCACGAGAACTGCGCAACACGGATAACACGGGTCGCCGCCGCTTTGTTCTTCGTGACGACGTTGTTATGCAACCAGATTGAAGGCTGGGGAACACAAGCCCGCAACTGTCAACGCTTTGTTATGTAGTTCAGTACCCGTCGGATGTACGACATTTATTAACATTCACCGTTATTGTGTTCCGTTTTTCCTCTTGTGATTCAAAAAAAAAAAAAATTTAAATTTCGATTCGACTTAACGATTATACATCGCAGTTCCAACCGGATATGACGTGATATCTGTCCTGAACGATTACGAGATCAATCCTCGGCGGCTACGTCTCCAAGGGCCTACGTTTTTCACTTGACTTCTCACGACCGTTTTGGTCCACGCCAACAACACGCTCAAAATGGAAAAGGTTAGTAAATCTTCTTGGTCCAAATCGCTTGACTCTCGTTCCGTTTATACAATAGTCCGAACAAATAGTGTCCTTTGCATCTTACCTGTACGTCATCGTAGTATGATAACGCTCTGTTGAATTGTTGTTGATGTAGGTCGAGGAAAATAATGTTGAGGTGAGCACGATGGGCAGTATCCAGGAGCCGGAAAAAAGTTACAAAGTCGCCAACTCTGATCCTAACTCTGAGGTCAAATTCAAACTAACATTAGAACCGACCATGATGCTCTTGCTTCTTGGTGTTAACATTAGCAGTGAGTCGCATCTTTGAACGAAATCCACTCTATTCTAATGTTTTAAAATATCCTATTTACAGTGATGGTGCAAACTAATTTGTTTGAAGAACGCATGTGCCTTCATACAGCTCTAGGACAAAACAAATCTGTAAATTGTCATAATTTGACAGCGGCCGAACAAGAAATAATTCAACCCGCTGTAGCAGACTTGCAGATGATTAAAAATCTCATTGAAACGTTAGTGCCTAGTTTCATGGCATTATTTTTAGGACCTTGGAGTGATGTAAATGGTCGTTTGCCTTTAATGTTATCGTCAATATCAGGTAAAAATCTTATACAAAAACTTTCATTCAACACTTTATAATCTATTGATAATTAAATTTTTATCAATTTCTAATAAAAGGTGTTGTATTATCTAACTGTATGTACTGTGTATTTTCTACTATACCTGCATTGCCACCAATAACATTTTTACTATGCAGTTTACCTCTTGCTGTAAGTGGAGGCACCGGAGCACTTTTTATAGCTTCTTTTTGTTATATTGTTGACATCACAGATTTTAGAACCAGAGCTTTCAGGTACTACAGTCAATATTAAAATTAAAAATGTACAATATTTTTAATTTCATTAAATATATTATGTATTCATTTGTTAAATTAATTGAATTCTATGGTCTAAATTTGATCAAAAAATTGTGATTAGAAATAGTATTTATATATATATATATATATATATACTTATTATTTTATTTAATTTTTGTCTATAATAGGCTTTTTTATCTGTATTATTTTTGTTCAAAAATTTAGAAATTTTTTTGTTTCTAGGTTAGGAGTTCTACAATTTTTTATATCTTTTGGTTCAATTATTGGGTCACTACTGAGTCCATTACTATACAATAAATCCTCTACTTATGCTTTTGCTTTATCGTCCATGTCTACAATTGCTGGACTTCTTTATACATCTTTTTTCCTTAAAGAGACCGTTATCATCAAAGAGGTATACAACTTTTATTATTTGATGAATTAATAATAACATTTATTAAATGATTTTTTTACTTACAAAACATTAAACCATTTTTTTTTTTTTTTTAATAAAAGGAAATGTATTTCATCAAATTTTAGGATTACACTTTAATATTTTATGGTATTTTTAATTTTGTTTTATTTGTTCTAGGGTGTAAATACTAAACTTTTCAATGTTACTTTAGTAAAAGACATGTGGCTAACTGTTGTAAAACAACGTTTTGGATTTTTAAGAAGCATAATTATAATATCTGCAGTAGTGTTAACTCTTAATTTGATCATTTTGTTTGGTAAGTGTATATTTAAATACATAATTGTTAATATTTTAATATAAACTCTATGAAATTATCGAAATAAAAAAGGTTAAATATTTTATATGTAGTGACTTGAATATTTTAATTTGTAATGTAATGTTGCTAATAGTAATGCTTAACATGACTTAATATTTATATCATATATTATTGTAGGAGAAGATGCATTGATGTACATGTACTTGCAAAAGCAATTTTCGTGGACTTTAGAAAACTTTACATTATTTAACACCTATGCAACATTATTAAGTGGTTTGTTATGCGGATGATCTGATAATTTGTGCAATTGATTACGTTTATTTTTTATTTTTTAGCCTGTATTCCTGCAGCTGGTTTATATGTATTAAGTACTAGACTTCAAATACCTGATATGTATCTAGCTACTGCTGCTACAGGACTACGTATTATTGAAAAAGTTGGTCTAGCTTTTGCAGTGCATACTTGGCAGTTTTATGCTGTAAAAATATTTGGCTGTGTTGTATTTACTAGTGAACCCTTAGTCCGATCTCAACTATCTAAGATTTTTCCATCAGAAGATTTAGGTAAGTTACAACAAGTAAAACTAGTAGACTATAATTTAAAATTGTTTCATGATTTCAGGTAAAATTTATGCCTTTATTAGTGCAGTGGAAGGTTTTGGAATGTTACTGGGATCTCCAATTTATACAACAGCATACAATATGACAATTCACAACTTTGCTAACTTTATATTTTTTTTGTCCTCTTTTCTAGGCACATTTGTTTTAGTTTTATATATGTAAGTATATTGTTATTTTATTGGTTTAATGAATGTAGTATGTATAAGGGCTGTATCGCTTATCGATCACATATCAACTATTTTTCGATCTGTGACCTAAGTTTATTTATATATTTTAAATATAGGATACCAAAAAGTTAAGGGTATGATAAGATCAATGATAATAAGTGGTGATGTGATAGGTAAAGTCGAGAACTTAAATATTTAGGATCATTTGTACAAATGAATGGAGGTTTTGGCACTGATGTAAAATATAGGATTAAGTGTGGTCGAATGAAATGAAGAGAATCGTCAATTATTTTATACAATAAGAAAATTCCAATGAGACTGAAAGGTACTGGAGTGTAGTGAGACCAACTATGCTATATGGTTCAGAGTGTTAGGCAGTTGACAGGAGAAAAAACTAGAGTATGAGTGTAGCGGAAATGAAAATGCTTATATGGATGAGTAGAGTGACAAGAAAAGATAGAATATATGAAAAATAGTATTGGTGCAGCGTCTATAGTGGACAAGATGAGAAAAAAAACTGAGATGGTTTGGGCATGAAATGAGACGAAAGGAAACAAATTCAGTAAAAGTTGTTATGAAAATGATTGTAGAAGGGAAAGGGGAAGAGGAAGAGGAAGACCAAAAAAATGGATGGTTGGATACAATTGAGAATGATATGAGGGCTATTGGAGTGTGCATAAGGGATGTAAAAAATTGAGACTAGTGGAGGTTTAAGACAAGGGTAGCCAACCCCAAATATTTTGGAGAAAGGTGAAGGAAAAGAAAAAAAAAAGAAAACTTAGAATTAACATTTTGTTAATCATTTAATATTAAAACTGTATTTTATTATTTTCAGACTCACATTATTTTTACTTTCAAGAAGTACTAAATCAGAAAATTTGTTGATTGATAACTAGTTTGGGCTTGTATAAAGATTATAGACAATTTTTACTAATATTGTTCATTTTTTTTTTTAGCACTGCTATTGATATGACCCTTAATTTTGAACTCTTGCCATCACTTAAAATATTCAAATGTTTTCATTATGTTTATAAGTATATTTTCAAATACATTAAAATAATATCTTAATATTTTTATTTTTAAGTTTAAATTCAATATCATGTTATAACATAAATATGTTAATAATTCATGTAAATTTAGTTGATAAATTAAGTCAGTTAACTAAGTCAATTATTGTATAAATTAAGCATGCTAACTATGCATGCATTAAAGTTATAGCTGTGATTCCTTTTGTTCTATTTGTATAGTATATCTCACAATTATAGTATAATTATTTATGAACAATTTAATATTTTTGAAACTTAAAACTTTTATACTAACTGTTATTGATCTATGCATTTATATTTTTATACAAATGTAATAATCTCATTAGTAATTTTTGTATCGCAATAATGTATTTTTCTAATAAATTGCATCACATTTTATACAATCCAATTCAGTTGTATTCATTTTGAAAGCATGAAAAAAGATATGATAATAATGTTCATTAAACGATAACTTGTCTGTGTGATTTCAGTGATAACTGATAAATAATGACTTTAGAAACACATTAACTTATGACTTGTTCTAATCGCAAGCAACTTACAAAGAATTAAACTATTAAATAGCTTTACTAATAATATATTAGAATTATAGTTAAATACTTAAAAAAAGAAAAAATACTATGGTAAGTTTCCAGTGACTTAATGTGTGGCTTCACCTCGCGTTGTAAACTGCAACGACAATGGTATCGAGGAACGTACGTCTGATAATCACGATATTTCAATCTTGTCAGTTGGACCTGATTAAGCAGTGGTATAGGTTTTTGATCATCAATACTTCTGAGCCATCTCACTCTGGTACCAGACCGAAATGATATTAAAATCTATTAAAATCGGGGCTTAAATTCTAAAACAAAATATCGTTTTTCCGTTTTAGGTTATTTAAACGTTATACAATTTTAACGTTTAAAGTTATTGTACTTTGAAACGCTATATAGCTATAATGTTTAACGTTATAGTACGTTGAAACGTTATTCGATTTTTTCTGTTTAACGTTATTAGATTTTTAAACGCTATTTTAATTTTTTGTTTTTCGTTAAAACGTTATTTGTATCAGGGCTTCAAACCGGTTAAGTCCGTTTTTTTTATTAACCGGTTTTATTGAAAAATCTGTATGAACGATACTAAAAATGGAACCACAATTACTAATTTTATATAAATTAATTCTCTTTGGCCGTAAAAATAAAATCAAAAACATTCTAAACCGAAATTTAAGAACTTAAGTGTACATTTATTCATTATAGGGCTACACAACTTATTGTTATATCTATAATAGTGAAAAGCAGTGCCAGATTAAGAGCCGATGTCGCCCTGGAGCAAATAATGTTCGCCCACCCCTCCCCCTCAAAGAAATAAAGTTTAAGTGAGACAAAAAAAAATCCTAGTTTCTATGTAAAAATTAAAAAATAAATTACTACTTATAAATATATATTATAAAATATAAGTACCTAATATAATAATTAATCTACTTAAACTAAAAAGAATAAATAGGTATATGTTAAATTTCTCAGAATAGTTTTGCAAAGAATTTTTTTAAACTAATGGAAAATACTGAGAAAATACAATTATAATATTAATAAATTGGTTCAAAATATACAGATAATAATTAAAGTAATTTTTTAATATTAACGCCTATCAAAAAAAATTTTTTTTGTAAGCATATAACTATGTATGTATTATAAATTATTTATTTTTTTTAATTATATTTTTTTATGGATTTAATAGTAGAGTAGAGCAATTCAAGTATCTGGGAACGATACTAACACAAATTAATGATACAGCAAAAGAAATAGAAACGAGAATACAGGCTGGAAACAAATGTTTTTTCGGATTAGCAAAACTGTTAGGCGCTCGATCCCTTGTCAAGAGACTTAAAAAAACAATTATACACTACATTGATAAGATCAGTAGTTATGTATGACCTGTTAGACCTGGGCAATTCAGAAAACCGACGAGAATAGACTCCTCTCCTTTGAAAGAAAAATTCTAAGAAGAATTTTCGAACCTGTAAAAGACAGTGTAACTAATGAATGGAGGATAAGGAAAAACGAGGAGTTAGAATCACTGTACCAAAAATCAAATACTGTTGAAGCAATAAGAACTAAGAGACTACAATGGGCAAAACATGCCTGGAGAAACAAAAACTCATTAATTTATACAGTACTGGAAAAGAACCCAACGATAAAAAGACCCATAGGAAGACCAAAAATGAGATGAGAGGATGTAGTGAAGAAGGACGTAGAAGAACTAGGAGGAGGAAATGATTGGAAGAGACGAGTAGCATACCGAGAGAGATGGAAAGCTGAATGTATGACGGGATGGTCCTAGAGGCCGCATACACCCAAAAAAAAAAAAAATGGATTTAATAGTTACAAGTTTTTATGTTAGTTCTTATAACTTCATTTCCTCAACCAAATCAGATTCTATGCATAAAATTAATAAATTCGACATTTTTCTTGTATTAATGACGATCTTAAATCTTTTTTTTGAGGCTATTTTATCTATGCCACCTCATTAAATTTGCCGCCCTGGATTAAATGCTCCTTTTGCACCTAGGTTAATCCGGCCCTGGTGAAAAGACAAATGTATTGCTCATGGGTTAATAGTGAAAAAGTCACGAGGTTATAATATAATTACACAATTTACATTTTACATTTTTTCAAATACTGAACATTAGGTAGGTACCTAAAAATATTGTACTATATGTCTACATAATATTGTGCAATGCATACATTTTTAACAGTTTCTATAAAAAAGATGTATCATAGTATTGGCCCTTTGTTGTTGACAACTGTAAAAAAACAAATATATACACATTAAATAAAATAATGTGTAATTTAAAATATGAAAAATCATACTTAATCTTTCAATGGTGATAATTTCTGTTTTTTCGTGGATGTACAATGACTATTTTCCTCATCTTCAAGTATCTCTTCGAATATTACTTCATCTTCATAAATGATCAAAGAAGAGTTTAAGCATGTCAAACCTTGGCAGTGCTTGCAAATTACTGAACACTTCATACCCGCATTTCTACAGCCACAGTTCTGTTCGTACATTTTCGTACAGACACAACTGATAACTGTCAGCTAAGATTCTGATGCTGGAGGTTTTTTGGTGAAAATCGGTCTTATTATATTTCCATATTTTTCCCACCCCCAATCTATTGGATTTAATACATTGTCACGCCAAAGTTGCACTAGCAAATAAGCTCGAAAAATGTGTTGTTTTAGAGAATCAATTGTTGGCGGAAGTCGACTTAATTGTACTTGTTTTTTGTTTGAATAAACGGTTCTGTTGAAGACATAATATCTATACTGGTTCAATGATGTAATGAATTTTGGTGTATCAAATAGTTTCAAAAGGAATTCTTGTCCAACACTGAATATATCATCAGCTGAAAATGACTCATTATTAAAAATTAATAATGAATCTTGAAGTTCTGAATGTTTCTGAAATGTTTTGACGTATTTCAGTTTTCCTTGTTAAAATATTGATGACGTGGTATCGCATTCACTTATTGCATGAATAAACATAAAATGTGGAATCATATTTTGAATTGTTCTTTTAGAGTTTGTATCGAGTAAAACTTGGTCTCCATTTTTCCTTTTCCAGGTTTTAGAAACACGATTTGATCACTCTGTGAAGTACTCTGTGTCAGTTTTCGAAAACTGATAAGTGGAGGAAAATATTCAAGATCATATGGTATTGATCTGATATCTTCACGTATTATAGTAGCAGTTGTTTCTATAATTCTTAATCGTTCTTCTTTCGTATCCCTTTTTAGAATCATACCACACATTCGTCAATACTTAATAATCCGTGTTTTTAAAACAAACTACCGATTTTTTCCACGAACTGAGGTTATAAGTATGTCATTACCATACTTCTCTTTTAATTTATTTCTTAAAGTTTCTTTTTCGCATAGCCCTTCCATCTTATTAAACAACATCTTCATACTAAATTGGCATTCATTTTCATTTTCAATAAAATCGCACAAATTGAAAAAAGTATTTTTCAACCGTTCGTCATGCGGTCGCCCCCTTTTTCTATTTTCGATAGATAGAAATTGATTGCAAAATTTTCGTTCACATGCCTTATGGTATTTTGCCTCTTCAGCAACTAAACAAATAACACTATTTATTCGCCTAAGTGAAGTACTTAGCCCAATCGTCACCTCTTTTATTCACCACATCCAAAATCGTTTGTTTGAAATAGAGTGTAGAGACATTAACAATAGTATCAAGACGGTATTTATTTAATTTAATTTCTAACTCTTTTGAACATGGATGATCACAAAATAAACAATTTTCTTTAAATTTACATAAATATTTAGAACTATAGTTATTCTATAGTTTCTATGAAAACGATTACCGAAATGATTCTGATAACGGAATTTGATTAAATCCTGACGCAAAATCAATTACACTAAATAATTGACATTGTCCTAATTGATCTAATATTTCTGTTATGTTAGGTAATGGATGAAATTCATTTAAAGTTACTTAATTTAATGCTCTAAAATCTATAACTACTCTAAACTTAGGTTTATCACTCGCGTCTGATTTCTTCTTTACTAATAATAAAGGTGCATTCCACGGACTCATAGATTGTTCTATAATATCGTCATTTATCATATTCCGAATTTGTGAATTCATTTCATCTTGTTGCGTTCATCTATAATCTTCATGGTTTTTATAAATTTGTGTTGGATTATCTTTTAATTTAATGTCATGCTCCGGGGAATTTGTAAAAATTAAGTGGTTCCTTTCTAAGTGAAATATTTCAGAATATTGTTCACAAATTTCAATTATTGATTGTTTTTCTTCTTCATTCATGTGTTCGGTACGTATTAAATTTTTTATTTTATTTATTCAACTTATTTTGTTCGAATTATATTGAGCATTATATAATAATATATTCATAATAATAATATATTAATATAATAATATAATAATATAATATAATAATAATA